GATAAAATTCGGATGTCTGTAGTAACAGGGGGTGAATAATTACCCATTGTGACATGCAACGGTCAAGGTAAAGCGCCGCCGAAATCTGCGCCGCGGAATCTGCTCCTCGTGATTAAAGAAAGAGCACTATACAGTCAAAAGAATTTGCGACATAATATATTTCGGAAGCGGACCGACAAATAATCGTGATTGTTATCAATGCATGGCTCGATGCGTGCGACCTGAGGGAAAAAAAATAACGTGCTCTATTTTGCGCAAATGCCACGTAACGTGAACTGATGAATAGACATAAGCTGTAGAATTTGGAATGAAAAGGGTGTAGATATGATCTGAATATACATCGAAAATCTGGCCAACATGTTTAATGGTAAAAACGTTAGCACATGAAAAGACGTGGCAGTGGGCACTACCACTGTCTCGAGCAAATCATAATAATAGAAAAAAGCCTCCCAATAGCTCTGTGCAAAGCCAGGTAATTAGGCAGATTATCTTTAACGGCACGTAACAATGTGCGTACTGTACGGCGATATAAGGGATATCGCTAACTTGCCGTCAGAGATCGCTTAAACGCCCGGTCTAAATCTGCAATGACACTCGTATATCATACCATCAGTAAAGCATCAGTCGCAGACTGAAGCTATGCAAGTAGGGCAAATGTATCATCGGTAGACTCCGCGAATCGGTCAAGCCGATGACTAACTTTAATTAAAAATCTCCGCATTTATCCGTACCCCGATAAGGATCATTAATAGTCGCTCTGTAAGCCGCACCTGAGTGTGGGTAAGATTAAATACTGTCAGACTGACTTCTTAACTTTCTGTACTTCTGAAGCTTACCCGTAAATGGCAAAAGGGGAACGCTTAGGGCGTTGCTGTGTAAACATGCTTGTAATCCCTTTGAAATCTGTTAACTAAACGTTTACACTTAATGCGAAAAGGAATGGCATGAGCCACTACAAACTCCTCCACCGTCCTCTGAAAACGTCCCAAGCTGGGGTCTGTCGTCTTATATTCACGAGTGGATCTGTCCTTAAATAGATAGCGAATCTGTCCATCTATACTACACATATACTCCGTAATCGGCATATAATCCGTAACTCACAATGTCAATCTGAAAGAAAATACGAGAGATTTCTCAATGTGTCGACCACACGTTAACAAAACAACTCTTGACGCGATCAACAAAAGTCCCGCTCTCACATTCTTCTGTTACCATGGCTACCTGTGGCTCCCGCACTATGGCGACCGGCACAATGGGTTGTACACTGTCTGAAACCGTGGTATGACGTCAACAGGTAGTTCGGGCGGTCCGCCTCGCTAATCATTTCTCATTGGCGCTTAAAGCCGGTTGGCGTCTCCTGGCGCAGATCCGTGACTTCGTGTGCCGGCTCCAGCCTTTCGTCGTCTGGACCCCAAACCGTTTACCTGGTATCCATATCATCAGTAAAATCTTCATCGACTTCCTAAGTATAGACCCTTTTTAATTATTATTCATGACCTGGGGTCATCGCACGAAAACGAGGCTAAGCTAGGCAATTTTGTAAACAATGACTGCTCAGGCAGGCCCGCACGCACGTACACGTACACGCAGATACACGCACGTACACGCGGGTACACGGAGATACACGCAGCGTACACGCACGTACACGCAGATACACGTACGTACACGCACGTACACGCGGGTACACGCACAGTGCACGCGGGTACACGCAGATACTACGCACATACACGTACACGCAGATTCACGCACGTACACGCGGGAACACGGAGATACACGCAGGTACACGCGCGGTACACGCACGTACGTGCGTGTACCCGCGTGTACGTGCGTGTATCTGCGTGCACGTGCGTGTACCCGCGTGTACGTGCGTGTACCCGCGTGCACGTGCGTGTACCCGCGTGTACGTGCGTGTACCCGCGTGCACGTGCGTGTACCGCGTGCACGTGCGTGTACCGCGTGTACGTGCGTGTATCTGCGTGTATGTGCGTGTACCTGCGTGTACGTGTACGTGCGTGTATCTGGTGTACGTGGCGTGTATCTGCGTGTACGTGCGTGTATGCTGCGTGTACGTGCGTGTACGTGCGGTGTACGCCGCCTGTCGTGCGTGTATCTCCCGTGTACCGCGCGTGTACGTGCGTGTATCTCCGTGTACGTGTACGTGCGTGTTTCTGCGTTGTACGTGCGTGTATCTGAGTGTACCTGCGTGTACGTGCGTGCTACCCGCGTGTATCTCGTGTACCGCGCGTGTATCTTCGTGTACCTGTACGTGCGTGTATCTGCGTCGTACGTGCGTGTATCTTGCGTGTACCGTGCGGTATCTTGCGTGTACGCTGCGTGTACCCGCGTGTACGTGCGTGTAACCTGCGTGCACCCGCGTGTACGTGCGTGTATCTCCGTGTACGCCGCGTGTACGTGCCGTGTATCTGCGTGTACGTGGTGTGTATCTGCGTGTATCTGCGTGTACGTGCGTGTACCGCGCGTGTACGTGCGTGTACGTGCGCGTACCTGCGTGTACGTGCGTGTATCTCCGTGTTACCCGCGTGTACCCGCGTGTACGTGCCGTGTATCTGCGTGTACGTGTGTGTACCCGCGTGTACGTGCGTGGACCCCCTCTGTGCGTGCCTGCCTGAGCCAGCCATTGTTTATTCTACAAAATTGCCTAGCTTAGCCTCGTTTTCGTGCGTGACCCATCATGAATAATAATTAAGAAGGGTCTATACTGTCGTGCTATATCCCTTAATTATCTTAAGTAACGCGCGTGTAGATAATACAAATCATGCAGACCAACAGAATAATCATAACAATGATCATCGTGGCACTCTCGCGGTCCCGTTAAACATGTGCGTACAACACTCACATGCGTGCTCAGCTCTAATTTCATGCTTTGTTCGAAATTCAAACCACCTTGGAAAAAAAGGCTGAGTCGGAAGGGCACGGGCACAGTGTGGAAGGGAGATACGAAAACCTCTCAACGTTTCGTCCGTGCGTTTGCGAAGAGTCCTTTTAACTCGTTCCTTTAGGCACTTCCTCCCTTCTGCCTCTGTGCGGCGCATCCTAAGTGGCTCTACCATGACAGTGGGCGCAATTAGATGCGTCCTCGTTAGAGGCCGTTGTTTTCTGCTCGTGCAGTGAGCTTTGCCCGCTTTACTGCCGTCGTTATAACGTGTATCTTGACCTATGCAGGTAGCTCTGCTCGCTACACTGCCATCGTTATAACGTCTATCTTGACCTATGCAGGTAGCTGTGCTCGCTACACTGCCATCGTTATAACGTGTATCTTGCTCACTAATCTTCCCTTTTTCACTACCTCTACCAGGGAATCTGACTTATTCCCGTCTATACCCTCCTTTTCCGCGACGGTGTAAATAAATCTGTTCACCGTCCCGTATCCATATTTTTTTTTTCCATGTCAAGGCTTGTGGCTGTACTCTCCGCCTCGCCGGGTATAGATGATTGCGTCACCATCGCTGTTGCCAAGTTGCTGAGTGGTGTATTTAAGCTCCTGAGCCTCAATTTCACCTGCAGATGGATCCGCCTGCAGTTGGGATCGACTGCACGCACGACATTGCCGGCTGCGTTGATTCGTAGAATCCGCTTTAAGCCTGTGCCTTGAGTGGTGGTGATGCAATGACTGAGTGGAACGTCTTCCTCATCAAAGTCGTCATCGCTTGCTACCCTCCTCGGCAAGTGGATATGCCAATGTCGCTGCCCTGTGAGGGCTGGCGACATCTCCCTCCATGCATGGGTTGTCGGTTACTGACGTACGTGCCTGTTTGCATTGTTGTTGACAGCTACACCTGTAAGTTGTACGTCTCATCTTCTTTCACACCGTTTATATAAAACTGTTACACACGAAATAAAAAAACTGCCTACAAGATAGCCTATCGTGGAGATATTTATCTATTGAAACTTGTACGAATGGCTGCAGTTTCCCGCGGCTGTCTTGCTGCTGCTGCTGCTGCTGCTGCTGCCACGGTGTGATATTTTGGTACGGCAGGGCGTGTAGACTGCCTTCACGTCGCTGGTTGAATCTGCATCCCGCGCGGTTGGCGGCTGCGCATACGGGTAGAATTGGATAGCTAGCGTGATTGCAATGTGGCTTGATCGCCACGCATTGACTTGCCATACGGCTTGCTTAGCTGTTGCAGTTATGATCGCAGTTATGCCCACAAATACTGGTCGTGTGCTAGGTCCGCAGCTCATTCGATCGGGATGACCAGCCACGCAAGG